GATGGTAGAAATATTCGTTGGATTAAGACATAATGGATACGTTTACTTATTTACTTTTACTATAAAATCCATTTGCTTATCGTTGTGAAGAACTTATTTACTTATAAATAACGTAGAAACTGCAAGGATGGATGGAGAGAATGGTCAGCCATTTTTTTTAAATTTTAAATTATCATATATTTTAAATATTTTTTATCAGTAATATTATTTTGTCATTAGAATTTTTTAAGTTCATTTTTATTTAAAAATTTAGAAATTCACCTCTAACATAAAATCATATATCTATCTTTAAAAAAATCACATAGATTAGAAGTCAAGGGGCATACGTATCGAAACAAGTAAACCTCAAATGATTCCTTTGTTAGAAGGGATTTTCTTTCTTTTCGTTATACAGATCCAAGGCCTGGAAAGTGAAATGGCAATGTCAGTGTTAAGATGATAAATATCAAAGCTGTATGAACTGAATGGAAAATAAACAAAGGACCGTATATGTTTCTCTGTTAGGCAAACTTAATTAAAATGCACCACCAACCCGACTGTGATTGAAAACATCTCTGCATGCGCAGGTACCCTACTCTATACATATTATGCGTGTATGCATGTATGTATGAAAACGAAATGCATAGATTAGCTTATGCATGCATACAGGGATCGCAATCCAACATATAACTACATATGGATCAAAAAATAAATGCACCATTATATCTGCTGTAGTTAATCCATACTGATGAATATCCAATATGCATTAATGTTTCATCAGTTTTCTTCTTTCCCTGGAGAAAGATGGTGGTCCCCGTTTCGTTTTCCCCACAGATAAATGCTGCACTTATTCTTCAGCTTCAGTACTCTCTTGACACCCTATGATCATCAGTTATAATAAATGTGATAATATTATTTCAAAGTTAAAAACAAAAAATTTCTGATAAACAAAAATAATAATTGTGTATGTACGAATAAAACAAAGAAGTAGGTTTTAAGATGAGTAATTTAAATTGTATTAATTAATTATATACCCGACATGATATGTATGTTAGAATGTTATCCCATCCATAATAAATATTACCATTACATGATAAAATTACCATTTTAAACTTTTTAAATATATTTTTATTAGATTAAGGTGATTACAAAGTAATATTTATTCTAAATACTCTTAAAACCATTTGATAATGAATGCTCAATCACCCTTATAGTCACTAGTGTTCGAACTCATGACCTTTAGAAACAATAACAAATCCTCTAATCATTGAGATAAGTTGGTTTGTGCAAAAAATTTTAATATTATTTATCAAAATCTTTAATCAACAAGTTATCAGCATAGCTATATAAGATTTATATTATTATTAAATCTTCAAGAGTTTACACTTAATGTTATGTTCAAATGTGAACAACCTTTATCTTTCTTTCTATTTAAAATATACACACAACATTACGTATGTATATACATACACGCACAACATAATTTATGAAGTCTAATTACAATAGGCTTCCTGGATCCGACATTTTAAAATCAATCCTTTTATTTATTTGATTAAAAATTAATGTATTAATTAATGGATATCATTTTCAGTGTCGACCAAACAAAGTGCATGAATGTTATTAATCACCTCTTTTTTTAAAAAAAAATACATTTTTAATTTTCTTAATTTTAAAATTAATCTTGATTCTTTATTTTTTATATTTTGACAATTCTTTAGGTTCATTTAATTTTAAAATAAATTAAATTAAAGTTTTATTTTTTACATAATTTTTAGGTCTATATCAATTATAAAAGTAATCTAATTAGATATTAATAATTAATTTTGATTATTTATATTTAACTCTAAAAGTTTCATCTTGATTTTTTTTTATCATTTTATTAATTATTTTAAAGTATTTTAAAGTTACACGTTAGTAAAACTTTATAATTATTAATTAAGGAGTGAACAATCTAAATCACCACGTATCATTATTATAATTAATACAAGTGACAAGCGACTACTAGCTAGCCGGTAAGGCACAACCAACAGCATTAATAACCTCTTTTATAGAAGAAACAATGGGATTATTTTGTTTCCATAATTTAGATTAGGGTTTACAAAGTTTTCATATTCTCTCGTATACCAATTTATATATATATATATATATATATTATTTAACAAGAATCACAAGTAATCATGAAATTTTATCTTATGTGGATGACCTACAACATGTTAATATGTTTAAATGTTATCACGTGCCATTAAGTTATTAATTTTAAAAATTATGTTTAGGTTCTTATTTAATAAGATGCTTTTTCTAAAGTTGAAAATGATTATAATTAATTTACAATTATAAAAATGAAAATAATTCAATCTAAAATTGTTGGTTTAGTTTATTAAAAAAAAGTTTTAGGATAAAATAGTCAAATTTAAAATTATAAAAAATGAAAAAAAATACGTAATTTTTAAATTAATTTTAATATATTATTTTCTGCATATTTGATATTTGAAATTTAATTATAATTTTTCCTTCAATATATAGAAAGTATATTGATATTTTAATTCATAATTGTTATTTCTTTGTATTTATATTTTTTCAATGATTACTCATATAAATATATATTTTTTAATCATCAATATTTAATATATTAATTTGATTAATCCGAATAGAGTATTGTAAAAGTCTAATATGAGAGTGATATTTTCAACTCAGTTTACTCCATTCGTAAACGTCATTATTCGAACTCTTAACCTCATTTAAAAAATATAATTTTTCATCCAACTAAATCAACTAATTGTTGATACATTTTATAATAAAAAAAACTAGTTGTTGTTACAAATATAACTTTTTTAATTATACATGTAACTAACTTGTAAATCACGCTATCTAGCTTTTATTTATAATAAAATTAAATTTTTAAAAGCAATTTATATTAGGTTATAGATTATTATCTAGTATAGTAACGATGAAAATTTTGTTCTTAATAAGTATTGAACATATAATTTAAATGAGAAATGAGATGTTATCTGAAAAAAATTTAACCACGTGCTCTAAAGATGATTGACATTTGATCACCTATAATTAGTAATATGGATACACTTAAATTAAAAGAAAATATGATAATATACTTATAAGAATCAAAATCTAAATTCAAATATATGAAATCATTAAAGGAGAAGGGGATTGAGGCAGGTAAATCAAATTAATTATTCATTAAATAGTGGGACTTGAAAGAAATTGGTGAATGGTACCGACTTTCTTAACAAGGTGACAACGGGATTAAAAGCGTGTCTATATTTGGGATCTAAAGGATTCACACGTGATTTATTAGTGAGAGTGGTAGATTCTGACAGTTATTCTCACAATTAGGAAGTGATTAACAATGAGAGAGAGGGGAAGACGAACACAAATGAAGGGAAGAAGAGTTGGGTTGAGTGCATTAAAACAGAAGAGGGGGGAACCGGTGACGATGAAATGGAAAGATATTGAAGAAAGCGAGGTGGGTTTTCAATGGTCATCCCCCCTTGAATCCTGCATTTAAGTGAATTCAAGATGGTGCAGTTAATGAAGGCAGGTAGACTCTTCTCTCTCTCTCGGTGCCTGCTTTTAATGGCTTTTACAATTGGATTTGGATCCTTTGCTTTTGTTTTTGCTAAAGATTAATAATAATTTCCAATCTTTGGAAGGGTTGATTAGGTTACGAAAACCACCTAATTTGAGAAAAATTACAAGGACGACATTGAATGGGTTGGTTATTTATGTCATCTGCTGTTAGTGTATAATCTATATTTAGGGTCCCTCACCAATTTATATTTGGTTGGTGGAAATTTGGATCGCCTTAAGGACTTCTTCACTCAACGTGTAAACCGCCATGCACCAATCCAGTATATATATATTGCTTACATCTTTTTCCCCATACAATCAAAAATTTTCTTATCTTCTTCCTTTTTCAAGTCCCCATATCACGGGGGAGTTCAAGACATATATATGAATATGATGACAGAGTTGGATATTGAAAGGTGAATTTAAAGTATAAAGAATTTAGGGATTTTATTGGTTATATATTATAAGAAAATGTGCACGGATATTTGGAAACTAGGAGCATTTGGTTGTTGCTGGTCCAAGAAGATTAAACTGTTTACATTGGGAAAAGGGTGGTATTTTGGGGACCTTAGCTTAAGATTAGTCATAGGCATGGAATGGAAATTTAAGTATTTACTTGGATATAGCTGAGGGGGTGTTGAGAGCTTTAAAAGCTTGTGGATTGATTAATTGATATGGGGATTTGTTGAAATAGCAAAAGGAGGGTGTTGAAAGCTTTAAAGGTTTTAGTTCTATGAGTGACCCGATTGTGGAAGTTGAAGTTATTATACGTTATTAAATATCCATTGGCATTCAAGGCCAAGTTCCCCCCTTTCAACTGTTTACAGACTCTTCTCATTTAATGCCCCTTTCCACACCTCTCACCGCCTTTCTTAAGTTCCCTAAACTAAATACTATAACTTTTGCCTTGGCTCACGTATGGCTTCAAAAGTTAGGAACCCCACGCCAAGTAGTATGTAATACCACGTAAGCAGAGTTAAAATTTAAGTTTTTCGGGGATTTAAATAACTATTGCAACACCATACTATAACTATCATCGTCTTTGATTCTTTCATTATTGATATTCATTAGCAATCCATTTTAATAATGCTTGTTTAAATAGTATTTATTATGTCTGTAATTACAATAGATACGACGAGCTGGAAACACATCTACGATCATGATTTAGTTTTGAATCGGCTGGGGTTTTAAGAGCCATCAGGATCAGGTGAAATTTATACATAATTGACCAAATAGAGAGGTTGGTTAGAACTTCACATCTAAGCTTTGAATAGCAGCTGCTTAGGAGTGTAGTTAATTGAAGGCCAACTTGGAATGCACGTCATGCATAGGTAGGCCCTTCCTTTTGGTTAATTTTCTTCCATCAATATCGTTGCCCTTACACCCCAAATTTCAGCCTTTATAACCACCTAAACCATTTCACCCATTTGATCACTCTCTGAAAAGACACAAAACTGAGCTAGCTTATTCTGTGTAGCTAGCTTTGGAGTAGCTCTCAATTTCTATATGATTTCCTTTGAAGCTCTCTTCTCCCCTCCAGATATGATCAGGAATACGATCCCGGAATTTGAGAATTCATCAAAGAAGAGAAAGTTGGAAGATTCACATGATGATCATGAAGAAACTTCGGACAAGCGATCCAAACCTGACAGTATGAAATCGATGTTTGATATGGAGCTACACCTCGAGACTCCATTACCTTCGGAGTGGCAAAAATGTCTTGATATTCAGGTATGCATACATACATATATTAAATATATAATTAGATGAAGAATTTGCTTCACCAGTAGTATTACTGTTACATAAACAACCCCTATAACCTTATAGTTGCTTTGCTTCATTTTGTGTTCAGTCAGGGCAGATACACTTCTACAATACAAGGACTCATAGAAGAACCTCAAAGGACCCAAGGAGAAGCCCTGAACCCCCAAGCCCTGGTCATATGAGCTTAGATCTCGAGCTAAACCTACCGTGTGATTCATCGGTAAGGAAAGTTAATGCAGCAGATCAATTATTCAACAAGCAAAACTCTGTCAGCCCCACGAGGGACAGTTCGGTCGATAAGAAGATCCAATCATCAGGAGGACTAACTCGCAACCTTTCATGGTTGGTGGAGGAGGACGATCAGAAAGAGCAAGAGATGGTAGCAACGGTGTGCATGAGGTGCCACATGCTGGTGATGCTTTGCAAGTCATCGCCTGCATGCCCTAACTGCAAATTCATGCACCCACCAGACCAAGGCCCTCCAAAGCAATTCAAGCAAAGGCTTAGCCTTCTATGCTAGTAAGGTCAATCAAGTTTCTTTTTTATGTTCAGGATAACAAATCCACTCCAATGTAAGTTGATTAAAATTTGTATCGCTTAATTCGTCTTGAAAAGCTAAATAGTCTTTTCTAGATGCCTTAGCTGATTTATATATATACATGTTATTAATATATATAAGCTTCCTATCTCCAATGAAAAATGTCTACATATAGAGAGAGAACTGAAACTAACTTATGTGGCACCGAATTATATGACGTAGTTGTATACATATATGGTATGCTTTATATTCTAATGTTGTTTAAGAAAAGGGATATCATAGTGGTTTCTTACATGGTGGCTCAGTGAATTTTCCAACAGTTCAATTTTCAATTCAAATCTATCAAACTGGGCCTCTTTTATACATGCATAGCTATTCCTTTAATACGGACCCAACGTACCTATTTTCTTAAACCAGCCTCTGATCATCCAGATGACAAACCAAAAGCCAGGGCCTTTTTCTTCTAAAAAAATCTGTCAAGTGTCTTCAATGTTTACAGAGGAGAAACCAGAATGTGGTTAAGGAGATTAATCAGAAATTATAGTGCATCTAACGTAACTTACGACTGTTCAGCAGCATTTATTGGCTTCATTGAGTGAACTGTTGCAGTGGGTGCAGAATTAAATTTAAGTGCGAGATCTAACTACACAATGTTTTAACTCTATTTTCTTTTTGTATAATATCTTGAGAAATTTGACGTTATATACAAAATTCTTACATTATTTCCTAGTTATAAATACCAACTAGAATGTCTCGCACTGGCAATCTCAGCTGCATCAGACATGCTGTAATTCTACAGTTGTCATATAAAATGAGAATATAGCTCCTTATACCCACCAAGAAGGGATTATGAATTAAGACTGGTATATATTATAAAGCATAGAGGTGATGGAAGCAAGGACAAACACAAGATTTACGATAGGGGGAGCGAACTTAGAAAATTTTAAGGGGACGAAAATAGATTATCAATAGAAAATATAAAAAAAATATCTAATTCATATGAGAGCTTAAAATTTTTAGGACGATGACCGTCCCCATCAGTCCCTCGGTACATCCATGGATGGAAGGCCAAACCAAGCTTTTAGAGTGAAAAGGCTATAAACCTCAAACGAAGATTTCAGTGATGGCGCTGCAATATTAAAACAGAAAGATAGAGAAACTACAACCTTACTCGTCTACAACAATATGAACACGAGCTTAAGAAATAGCTTTACAAGTTAAAGTTTGAGAAGATTTTCCTGTGAGAGGTGGAGTGTGCCAATGTCACGTAGAGCGATCGGACAATGTCACAAAATAGTTATGATCATTCTCAAGGGAGACAGGGTCACTTTCCAAGATGATAAACTTAACTGCAAGCGCTTTTGATAACACGTGGAAAAGACATGATTCTGTTCAGACTTCAAGGAACAAATGGTTTTCAAATATTTTTCACTCATTTAGGAGATCAAAATTATGAACCGTGATGAGATAATTTACTTGTTTATGTGATATCAGTATGCCAAAAAAATTTACTCATTACGTCTGTTCAATTTTATGCTTCAATAAAATCTCCAGTTTCTTTAAGTTTATTAATATATAATATGGTAGTATTGGGCTCTGCTTGGTTATTGCCACAAGAAAGGGGGAAATGACCAGCTAGATGAACATAAAACCCCTATCTATTAGATAAATGTAAGTGTTAGGTATGACTCATAAATATACCGAGAAAGTCTCATAGTAGAGGTTACGATTATGTGGGTTGGGGGTGTGGGGGCTGCGGCCCTGCGATATGGTACAGGGTTATTTTTGTAAATATGTATCAGGGTTTATTTATTATAAAATGAGATGTAACCTAAACCTATGAGACATTGAATAAAAATTCTAGCGCCGTTTAGGGCACCGATGACGTAAGCACATTGTTGAATCTCGTTAAAATTCTTGTGTTCTTTCCGTTTTCTTTACTCGATTTTTTAACAATTGATATCAGATGTCAGGAGCCAAATTCGAAGTTGCGAAATTCGATGGTCAGGGTAACTTCAGATAATGGCAAACAAGGGTGAAGGATCTGTTGGCGCAGCAAGGGATCCTGAAGGCTTTGCGACCTACAAACCCGACATCGATAGAGGAGGAAGATTGGGAAGAATTGCAGCAGCGAGAAGCATGAACCATACGATTATGTTTGGCGGACGAGGTCATGTATCACGTCATGCATCTGTCGTCTACAGATGAAATTCGGAAGAAGTTGGAAAGTCAGATTATGTCCAAATCCTTATTGACTAAACTGTATCTAAAGCAGTGGTTGTATGGGCTGAAGATGCAGGATGATCATGATTTGGCGCAACACGTGAATGTCTTCAATCAAATCATTTCTGATTTGGCTCGGTTTGATGTGAAAATTGAGGATGAAGACAAAACGATGATTATGTTGTGTTCGTTGCCTCCCTCTTACGAACACATGGTGACTACTCTTACATATGGGAAAGATACTATCAAAGTTGAGGAGATTACTGCAGCCTTGTTGGCTCACAACCAGCGAAAGCAGAATGCATAGGAAAGCTCTCAAGCTGATTGCTTATATGTCAAGGGTAATCGAGACCGTGGACGGAAACCAAAGAAGACAGAGTCTAGGAAGCGGACTCTCAGATCCAAATATAAGGATAATAAGATAATTCACTGTTACAAGTGCAAGGAGGCGGGACATATGAAGCGAGACTGTCCGAAGTTGAAAAAGCAGACTGATGAGAAGCGTGATGACTCATCCAAGTCTGTGAATGTGGTCGAGGATGACAATTCTTATTGCAGTGAGGGTGATATGCTTTCTATTTCAACGACTCAATTGATGGATGCTTGGATTATTTATTCTGGATGTTCTTATCACATCACGCCAAATAGGGAATTGTTTTCGACATACATGTCGGTTAATTCTGGTTCTGTTTATTTGGGTGATGATCGATGTTGCAATATTGTTGGTATTGGTGATGTCAAAATTAAGATGTATGATGGTTCTATTCGGACGTTGTGTGGTGTTCGGCATATCCCAGATTTGAAGAAGAATTTGATTTCTTTGGGCACTTTGCACAAGAATGGTTTTATCCCTAATATTGATGAGGATAGGGAAACCATTCGGATTGTTAAAGGAGCTTTGACTGTGATAAAAGGAAAGATGACTGAAGGGAATATTTACAGAATGTTGGGGAGTACCGTTGTGAGTGGAGTTCATTCTGTTGAGTCATGTGATGATATTACCAAACTGTGGCATATGCGTCTTGCTCATCTTAGTGAACGTGGTATGGATGAATTACATAAAAGAAAGTTGTTGCATGGTGTTAAAAGATGTAAGCTCGATTTTTGCAAGTATTGTGTTCTTGGTAAATAGACTAAAGTTCGTTTCAAGACTGGAAAACACACAACTGAAGGGATTCTTGATTATTTGCATTCTGATGTATGAAGACCTTCCACAACATTGTCTTTGGGTGGATCTAGGTATTATGTTACTTTTATTGATGATTTTTCACAGAAAGTTTGAGAGTATTTTTTGAAACAGAAGTATGATGTTTTTGAGAAGTTCAAGATGTGGAAAGCTGAGGTAGAAAACCAAACAGGATGAAAAATTAAGTGTTTGAGGTCTGACAATGGTACGGAGTACAAAGATTCACAGTTTCTAAACTTCTGTAAGGAGCATGAGATTAAGAGGCATTTTACAGTGCGTAAGACACCACAACAGAATGGTGTTGTGGAACGGATGAATAGGTTGTTGAATGAAAGAGTCAGATGTTTGCGGTTGAATGTAAGGCTTCCCAAACACTTCTAGGTTAAGGCTGTTAACATGGCGTGTTATCTTATCAATAGATCGCCAAGGGCATCATTGGCTGGGAAAGTTGCAGAAGAGGTATGGACTGGTCATGATGTTACTTTTGATCACTTACGGAGTTTTGGTTGTCCTTCTTATGTGCATGTACCTACTGATGAGAGATCCAAACTTGATGCAAAATCGAAGGAGTGCATTTTCTGGGTTACAAGAAAGGTGTCAAAGGATTCAAGTTCTGAGATCCAGTTGTAAAGAAAATTGTGATAAATAGAGATGTTGTTTTTTACGAACAACCTATGTTGCAGCAGAAGAAAGACACGACAGTGGTAGATTTCGAGCAGTTTCCAGTTGAGAAAACAGAAACTTCTCAACCGACTTCTGGTGGTTCCACTACGATTGATTTACAGGATTACAGTCTCGCCAGAGACAGGGTGAGACGGACGAATATAAAACCTTCGAACAGATTAGGTTTTAAAGATTTGGTCTCTTTTGCACTTACTGTTCGCAATGATGATCCAGTTACTTTTCATGATGTTGTTAGTAGTCAGGAAAACGACAAGTGGATGGCTGCCATGGTTGAGGAGATGGAGTCTTTGAATCATAATCGCATATGGGAGTTAGTTCATCTTCCTAAGGGTAAGAAGTCTATTAGTTGCAAATGGGTGTATAAGAAGAAACCAGCTGTAACAGAAAAAGAGGGGGAGAAGTTCAAAGCTCTTTTGGTAGCAAAGGGTTTTTCACTGCAGAAAGGAGTTAATTATGATGAAATTGTTTCTCCTGTGGTCATGCACACTTCAATCCGAGCAGTACTTGCACTGGTGGCTAGTTGGGATTTGTATTTAGAGCAGATGGATGTGAAAACTATTTTTTTGCATGGTGATTTAGAGGAGTAGATATAAATGCAGCAGCCTGAAGGTTTCACTCAACCTGTAAACAAGCATTTAGTTTACAGATTGAAGAAATCTTTGTACGGGTTGAAACAGTCTCCGAGACAATTGTACAAACGGTTTGACTCCTATATGATCCAGATTAGCTACAAGCGATGCGAGTATGATTGTTGTGTCTATGTTAAGAGCCTTGATAATGGTTATTTTATTTTTATGTTATTATATGTTGATAATATGTTAATTATTGTGAAGAACATGTATGATGTTATCGGTTTGAAAACTTTATTGAGTCAGGAATTTGATATAAAAGATTTAGGTGCTACAAAGAAAATTCTTGGAATGAAAATTTGCAGGGACAGAGACTCAAAGAAACTGTGGCTATCTTAACGGGGTTATGTTGAGAAAATGCTAGAAAGGTTTGCGATGCGCAGCGCAAAACCAGTGAGCACTCCATTGGCGAATCACTTTAAGCTCTC